CTCCCACGCCCCAGTCACTGCCCCAAGGAGTCTACCATTTGAATGGAATTAACTGGAATGGTGTTAATTGGCATTAATTAATTGGAACCAAGGCAGCAGAAATAAAATGAAGACAAGAAGGAATCGCCTTCCATTCTCTGCTCCAGATGTTTCACTTTGAGCCCTGCAGCGGTTGCTAGCAGTTTTTTTTGTTGCTCTTACCAACCCCATTGTCACATAAATTGTGTCCCAACTTCCTTCCCACCCCATATCCTTTTCATAACCCATGATTATTATTAAAGGAAGATCTCTCTCTCTTTTTTTTAATGCTGCAACGTGTCCACTCAGATCTTTCCCCCGGGGGCAGCTGGAGTCCCCTCTCCCACCCACCCTGCCACATCCATCAGGCGGCTTCCTGGGCCTAATCCCTAATCCAGGAATCCCGGTTCCGTCCCAGCGTCTGCATCCCCCACTCGTAATAAAAACCAGGAAGCTGCTTCCTACCTTCCGTGCCGGGGCAACAAGAAAGCAGGGTCCAGAGCCTCCCCCCCCCCCCGCGCAAGCACAATGGCACATTCCTTAAATGACATCTTACCGCCAAACCGAAACGCCGCCGCAGTTTCCACTCTTTAGGAGCGGACTAAACCAGCTGCCTTTTTCTTAGCAGAAAAAGGGGGAACTGATGGCAGGCGGGTTTTTTTTTGACGGAGATAAAGGCAGCAATGCCGCATGGGAATTGCAGTCCAGCAAACGCGCTTCCACGACGCTTGACAGGCGCTCGGATCCCAGAAAGCCCCGCGCGACATGGGAGGAGCTTGACGGGAAATGTAGTATGAAAGAGCATCAGCGGCTAACTCTATGTCAGGGGTTCTCAACCTTGGCCACTTTAAGACTTGTGGAATTCTGGGAGTTGAAGTCCACAAGTCTTAAAGCGGCCAAGGTTGAGAACCCCTGCGTCTACGTAGCGATGGCAATGTAAAGGAAGATCGTGGGAATAACGAAGCAAGCGTTTATTTCAGTAACTCGTAACAGTCCTGAAATGCATCAACTTTCAAAAGCGGTCAAAATATAGAGACCAGGGTGCTATAAGGGTATCTAGTCCCTAGAAAAAGCACATTACAGAAAAAAAAAACATACGATTAATCTCTACATTTATTTTCTTTATATTACAATACTGATGCAAAGAAGCACTTCAGATATAATTGTCTTTGAGGTTTCTGAATATGTATTCCAGAACTGAAAATAGAAATATCACCAACTATTTTTCGTTGTTGTTTTTTTCACCTTTGGTGTTTCTGATCCTGCTTTCATTATCATTCCAAGATATTTTTTTTTCTGCTTGAGCTGTTTTTAGCACAATCGATCCATTTATGCAAATGATCACTCTTTAAAAAGTACTTATAAATCAATTTCTCTGGGAGAAACTAAAGAAATATATCAGTAGAAATATTTTAAAAAAACACGAAAAGTGGAATTTAGAAGGTATTGTTTTTCCTTTATGTGAAAGGAAATATTCAAAAGACTCTGATATAACTTGAAAACGGGGTTGGCTTTTACATAAGCGTATACGTCATGATCATACAAGTCTTAACTGAGCCAGTTATAAAGAAAGCCAATCTGGACTTTTGTCCTTGATGTCTTTATTTTTTGGATAAAAACATTACAAAAGTTAAATTCAGAGCTGATTGCATTAATAGAAAAACAGCGCCCCCTGCTGCTAGCGGAGAGAACAGTTCCTCCATTTTTTCAAATCTTTCTATTTATTATTTCACCTAAAAATCAATGGTAATAGTTGCTGCTTGTTATAAACATAATGTTAAAAAAAGAACCCACATGTTCCTTCTGCCCAACTTTCTCTTCCTGCAACAGGAATAAGTAGCTGGAAAGTGATTCTATTAAAACAAATGAAATATTAGCCCAGTGGCTGCCAAATATATTTTGTTATACACATAGAAATGGCTCAGGAACTTTTGGTGCCCAATACAGAAAATCAAAATCAGTGTAGTGTTTAAAATAATAGTAATCTAAACCAGGGCTTTTCAACCTTTTCACCCATTGTACCACTTTTAGGATATGGCAACATCCGAGTACTACCAGCAAGGTGTCAAAAACGTGATGACCCCCCCCCCCAAAAAAAGGAAAAAAGTAATAAAGTACAGGTAGTCCTCGCCTTACAACAGTTCGCTTAGTGACTGTTCGAAGTTACAATGGCACTGAAAAAAATGCCCCCCAAGCCACAGCTGAGCAAGACACTTGCCTGACCGCCCGGTGGCGCTTCCTCCTGTCCGAGGTTTCCATTGTTGTGAGCATTTCTGTTGAGGATTGGCAGCAGGGGTGGGGTGGGGTGTGTTTGGTTTTTATTCCCCCCCGTCTGCTGGGTGGTTGCAGCAGGTTTTGGTCACTTCACATGATCCTGGGATACTGTGTCATAAATATGAATCAGTTGCCAAGCATCTGAATGTAAATCACAAGACCCTGGAGATGCTGCAACATTCCAGCTGATTGGCGCTTCTTCTGGGCTCAGCAAAAGCACCAGGATCAGCGCCAAGCTCCAGCTGGAGCCTGGCGCTGATCCTGGCGCTTCCACTGAGCCCTGACAGCCCTGCAGCTCCAGCCATTTCTTGCTCAGGCTTGTGCGGTGCTGCCACTGGTTCAGCTCATTCCCCTCCCCCGCTACCACTTTCTAGGATGGTCGTGTACCACCTGCCAGGTGCCAATGTACCACAGGTGGTACCTGTACCACTGGTTGAAAAGCCCTGATCTAAACTACCTTTGTAAAATTTAAGTCTAACATGTTAAGTTTTATTTTAAATGGCTGAATATGTCATAATTCAATTTTCGTAAATTCACAATTGAAAAAGAATGCTCTTGGATTTATTTTTGCTACCAATAAAGGAGAATATTTGTAGCTCCGAGTTGAAATGAGGGATCCTTGGTGCTCTCTGAACTTGGTTGTTTTCTTGCAGACGTTTCATTACCCATACCAAGTAGCATCATCAGTGTTCAGAGGACTGATGTTACCTAGTTTGGGTAATGAAACGTCTGCAACAACCAAGCTCAGATCCCTTATTTTTATTAATTCTGGATTTTTGGTTTGCAAGAACATCTCGTGTATACCGAAATATTTTTTTTATAACAAGTTTTATTAATTTTTCAGTTTTTACATCCAAGTAATTAGGAAGCAGCGTGCTGACAGGGTAATCAATAGTCCAATAACAAAATCATTCATGTATATCTCCGGTTACATCATTAAAGGTTCCCTCTCTATTTCCCTTTATTATTATTATATCATATTCAAGTTAATACATTTCTAGATAAAGCTCAATCAATCAATACGTTTATCAATAAAGGTTTACTTATACATATCCAAGTCCGGTTTTAAATTTTACTTAATTCCAATTACCATATTCCAATTTAGCCTTTAATAACCATAACATTTAAACTTTGAGTAACTCTAATTTCCCTCATTTCATTACAAGATAATTATCATGTCTAGAATACACATATTGTTCCGAAAATTACATTCTTACTTTATTTCACAAATATGCCGAAATATTTTTGAGTTTGCTTCTTACAAGAGAAATTACAAGTAGTCCTTGACTTACAACCAGTTGTTTTAAAACCTGATGTTATGACAGCCTCATCATGAGAGCTTTGTTGCCTGTACAACATCCAGCTATCGTAAAATGTGCTCACAGCCTCATAGTCATGTGACCACACTTTGAGCTCTTAAAAACTGGCTTATATCTACATGTACATTTGCAATGTCCCCTGACCATGATTTAGGATATTTGTTTGCTGGTTTCAGGCAAAAAAACCCAGCAATTCAGAAGAATGGGCTTGTGTAATGACCATGTGATTCTCTTAACAACTGGGGGGATATACTAAACAACCACAGTAAAAAATGTGGGGGGAAAAGTGGTGATGTGGATGCTTCAGCTTACGACTGGAACAACATACGACCTGATTTCTAGTCCCAATTGAAGTCATAAGTCAGGATCGACCTGTAACTGTTTATAGATGGGTCTGTTTATAATCTTCATTTCACAATCAACTAAACCTAATAATTTGGGCTGTGGACCTAAAGCAGTCTCATATTTACTTTATCAACAAGGTGTAGTGCAGTGATGGCGAATCTTTTAGAGACCGAGTGCCCAAACTGCAACCCAAAACCCACTTATATATATCGTTGGGTGCCGGGTGGCCGTGGCCCATTGGGTGGGCGTGGCCCATTGGGTGGGCGTAGCTTCGGCGGTAACGGCAGACTAGGTGGGACTAAAAAGTTCAATCAATTCCAACTTTGCAAGATCTTTTTTTTTCCCCGCGAGAAGTTGAAATTGATTGATTGAACCTTTTTTTTTTGCACACGGCGGCGGAGGTCTAAAGCGAAAAGGTTTTACAAAACCCAGCTGAAGGACTAGGGCGATGGTGCCCATGCCCATAGACAGGGCTCTGCGTGCCACCTGTGGCACACGTGCCATAGGTTCACCACCACGGGTGTAGTGTTTGATCTGTAATGAAAATAATTATCTGCAACTTGCTATATTTTTTTTTGCAATTATGCTTCACTGTCTGCTGTTCGGGATACATTTTTTCAGTGTGCCAAATAATACGGTCAGCTTAACACCAGGCAAAGGAAATTAATGATGGGAAAAGTAAACCAAGCCAGATTATCAGTGTGAAACGGTGTTGGTTTAAGCAGCCCCTGTTCAATGGGGAGATGCTTTTAATATCATGGTCCAAAATCCTTAAAAGTTTATATTAAGTAGGGCATCAAAATGGCAGGTATAACTGAATGATAAACCCCTGCCTCTTTTAACACGCATGTGATATGTGCCATGCATATGAAAAAGGATCAGGTATCGATCACCTGGTTGCCCATATTACGTTGATGCTACCTACCCCTGTATTAAACCTTCCCCTACACTTTAATCCACTAATAAAACTCCTCCATTTATCATTTTCTACACATCAAGAACAACCTCTAGTTGTACAAAATGAATATACATAAAACAATTTAAAAGAGCTTAAAAAAAATGCCACTTAACAAGTTGTAAAATCAAAACAGCTCCATTTTGGTTTGCATCATCCAAGGTAGCTTCCATTTTGGGTCCAGTTAGTAGAAATCAGGTAGTTGAGATGTTTGGAGTCTGAAGGACAATGGGAGACATGCTGAAAAACATGACTTCCTGGGCAGAGAAGACGAAGATGGTGTCTAAACGATCTAAGTCTACTTGGTCACCTTCAAAAACAAGGTCCAGAGGTTGTCCAGGCCTAAAGGACGTGGAATTCAGCGCCTTTTAGCTTTTGCCTTCAGCTGGGGTGGACGGTTGAGGTAGCCGAGGCGCTTGTAGTTTATAAACAGGAGGGCAAAGTTGAGAATGTAGGTGCTGATGCAAATCACGCAGAAATCATGGAGCACATAAAAGAGGATGTAGGCCAAGTAGAGAGATCCAGCAATGGAGACCAACGAAGAGCCCACTAGAGTAATGGCTGCCAGGTTGTGGTTAAAGAAACCTATGAGGAAGAACCAGGGTTAGCTTCTCTTTAGCAATTTGACAGAAATGCTGCTATTAGGAGTTAATAGTAAAAACAGGATTTGATCAATGAGCTCACACCCTAGAGCAGGGGTAGGCAACCTTGGCTCTTTTATGACTCGTGGACTTCAACTCCCAGAATTCCTGAGTCAGCCATGTTGGGAGTTGAATTCTGGGAGTTGAAGTCATAAAAGAGCCAAGGTTGCCTACCCCTGCCCTAGAGCAAGTGTCTTCAAACTTGGCAACTTTAAGACTTGTGGACTTCAACTCCCAGAATTCCTGGCTGGCTGAGGAATTCTGGGAGTTAAAGTCCACAAGTCTTAAAGTTGCCAAGTTTGAAGTAGCCCTGCCCTAGAGAAGTGTTTTTTCAATCTGAGCAACTTTAAGATGCCTGGACTTCAACTCCCACAATTCCCTAGCCAAGCCATGCAGGCTGCAGGAAGAATCCCCCCCCCCTTGCTGGTTGGGGAATTCTGGAAGTTGAAATCTGAACATCTTAAATTTGTCAGTGTTCAAAAACAGTGTTAAAGTTGCTCAGATTGAAAAACACCACACTAGAGAAAGACTTAAAGGTGGCTTGGTTCGAAGGTTTGCGTGAATCATGGTTCAGGGCTTACCAGGGTTGTGTGAACTTACTTCATGTTTGATCAAACTATGGTTAAGCAAGCCATGGTTCATCATAACATGTCAGCCCAGCTTACCTGTTTCTCATTTGTCCTTTCCTGTGCTAACTACGGAGTGCCAGTCCCCACCTATCCCTGTAAAATCTCCCTCCGAAGATCACTTCCTGTTCTTTATCTTTGGTGTCCCCATAGTTCAACTCTTGTGCAACTCCTGTATCACATTCCTTAGCTACTAAGCACATTCTGTCCTGCAAAAAAAATATTTTTTTTGAAGATTTTTCTTTTTTGCATTTTTGCAGACCTGGGATTTTACCCAGCATTTATCATCTTCCATTTGCTTCCCACCCCTCCTATTCCAAATCCTCTTCTGTTGGTGCTCATGATTCAAGCAAGAATAATACAAGTAGTCCTTAATTTATTATCCATGATGTTTTTGCCAGTTTCTGGCAAAAAAAAACAACCCCACACTTATTGGCTAAAATGGATTCCCTTAACCACCCCTACAAAGAAGCTTGTAAAATTGGGTGCAGTCACATGGTGACCTACTTAATGACTAGCATGACTTACGACTGTAATTCTGAGCTCAATTATGGTCATAAGTTGAGGACAACCTGTATTATGAATATTTGAGCAAGCCTGAAGATAAAGCAGCCCGCTGTTTCTTCTGCCAAGGAAGACAATGAATTAATGCTGGCTAGGGAGCCCCGTGAAGAAACTGCATTAGCTAAACCTGCTTGGATGAGCATTTATGAAGACAGCCTAGCTCAGTGATGGCGAACCTTTTAGAGCAGGGGTGTCAAACTCAATTTCATTGAGGGCTGCATCAGCATTGCGGTTGCCTTCAGGGGGCCGGGTGGGTGTGGCCTACTGGGTGGGCGTGGCCAGCTCTACATCGTTCGCGTCAAGGGTGCCTATGGGGGCCTGGGCAGGAGTGGAACAGATGTGAGGGTCTCTGGCAGAAGGGGGTGGGACCAGGGCAAGTGCCAAGGCATGGTCCACTGGAGGAGCCTCACTGTTCCTCTCAGGCCATGCGGGGTGGTGGTGGCTCTCGGAGCAAGACTGAATGCATTTCAGCATAGATGGCCACCACAAAATTGTACATTGGCTCCCGGCTGGCCTGGGCCAGGGCCAAGGCAGCGGGGGCCGTTCCCTCACTGTTTCCAGGATGGCTTCGCGGGCCACATGAAACCACTTCGCGGGCCGCATCTGGCCCCCGGGCCGTGTGTTTGACATGTCTTGTTTAGAGAAAAGATAAGCTATACACCTTAACCAAGAGCAAAAAGATTGTGAGGCAATCTGGATCTCAAGAGGGCAAAAGGATGGACATCTCTCTTCATCGTGCTTTCTCTTGCACGTCCTCTGCCTCATACTCACCCAGAAGTATCTGCAGAATGTAGAAAATAATCCCAAAAATGCTGTTTGGCTGATTGAAGAGGCTGTGAGGTCCCAGGAGGTCTGCCACCAAGCCAAAACCACGACCCCACCTGGAAGATATAATGCTGGGTAATGATTACAGTGACGATAAGCAGAGGTTGGGACTTGGAATTCCTGGGAATCTTGACTTGAAGCTAGATGGAGAAATCGAAAAACAACACACAGTCCTGGAAGAGATGCAGGATATAGTCCAGTGGTGGCGAGCCTATGGCACGCGTGCCACAGGCGGCACGCAAAGCCGTCCCTGTGGGCCCGCGCGCCATTGCTGGGCTCCTCCCCTCCCCCTCTCCACGCATGCGGAGTCTGGGAAGAGCTGCGAGAGCTGGGCGGGGTGAGGGAACCTATAAAAAGAGCAGTCTTGGCAGGAGAGTGAGTGAGTGGCATTTGGAAGTGACCAGTGGTGGGTTTAAAATCATTTCAACAACTGGTTCTCTGCCTTGCCTTCCCTCTGTCTTGGTCGGGCTGGGCTGCTCGTGGGGGGGGGTCAGCTGGAGTGGGGGCAGGAGGGTGGGGGTCATCAGGTCCCGGCTGGGGGAAGGCGAGGGGGGGGGCTAGAGGGCTGGGATGCCTCTGCGGAGGAAAGCCACACACCCACCAGCCGAGCCTCTCATCCACACTGTGGTCACATAGGATTGCATAGAAGGAGCACGGGGCAGGGGGGTGGTGGCCGGCAGGGGTGAATCAGAGCCGCCATCTCCCTTCCGCAGTGTAGCCCCATTGGCGTGGGCAGAGACAGCCCCGGGACGGCCGGAAAGGAGCTCTCACCCGCCAGAGACCCCCTGGATCACCCCCAATCCTGCCCGGCCCCCACAGGTGTCCCTCCCCCACGAGCATCATCGAGGTGGCCACACCGACTGCGGCCACGCCCACCCAGTCGGCCGTGACCACCGTGGCCATGCCCAACCGGCACTCGGCGATAAATAAATGGGTTATGGGTTGTGATTTGGCCACTCGGTCTCTAACAGGTTCGCCACTACTGATATAGTCTTTCCTGTGACACTTCACAGAAGGGAAATTGGACTTAGAAGAAATGGGAGAAAAAGAGTACACAGGTAGTCCTCAATTTACGATCGTGACTGGGACCAGAAATTCTGTTGTTAGGCAAGGTGGTTATTTGGTGCCTCACACCCGATTTTATGACTGGCTGTGTTCAGCCAGCCACTGCAGTCGTTCAGTATCATGCAGTCATTAAGCAAATCTGCTTCCCTCATTGACGTCACCTTTTACTGGAAGTCGGGCAGGAAGGTTGCAAATGGTGATCACATGACCCGGGGACGCTGCAACCATCCTAAATACATGCTGCTTACCAAATGCCCAAATTCTGTTCACTTGAGCTTGGAAATGGTACAGACAATTTTAAGTGTGTCAGGCATGAAGAGTCAGGACGACATTGCAAATAATAATAATAATAATAATAATAATAATAATAATAATAATAATAATAATAATAATAATAATAATAATAATAATATAATAATAATAAAGTTGGAAGGGATCTTGGAGGTCATCGAGTCCAACCCCCTGCTCAGGCAGGAACCTTATACCATTTCAGACAAATGGCTGTCCAGTCTCTTCTTAAAAACTTCCAGTGTTGGAGCATTCACTGCTTCTGGAGGCTGGTTGTTCCACTGGTTAATTGTTCTAACTGTCAGGAAGTTTCTCCTTAGTTCTAAGCTACTTCTCTCCTTGATCAGTTTCCATCCGTTGCTTCTTGTCCTGCCTTCAGGCGCCTTGGAGAATAGCTTGACTCCCTCTTCTTTGTGGCAGCCCCTGAGATATTGGAACACTGCTATACACAAGAATCTAATCAACTAATAGCCAGCACTAAACTGGTGCTAGGTAAGACTTAACAGAATTTAAGGAGGCTGGACTTGTTTGTGGGAACATATCAACTCCAGGCTAATTCCTGTCTTGACTTCACCCCCAGATACTGCCTTGTCTTTTCCTACAGTATGTACAGTAATTTTTTCTAGGTCCATTGTAACATTAAACAGTCACCAAACAAATGGTTGTAAGTCAAGAACTAGCGGTATTGATGCTTCTCGACTTTGTCATTGGAGAAGACTCCCGAAAATACCCTGGGCTGGCAAGGAAAAGAAGCAAATGGCTCACTGAACAAACTACCCCGGCATACTCACTCAAGGCACAAATGACTAGCCTACTTTGGATACATTATAGAAAGATGTAGTTATCTGGTGAAGGCTTGAATGGGGCAAAGGCATCACTCTGCCCCTCCCTTGCCTCATATTTTATTTTATTTTACAGGCTCCCCAACTCCCACATGCTTCTGAACATCTTACAACAAAAAAACCCAACTTATTAAATGGAAAATTAAACAACGAACCAGAAAAGCAAAGTATGAAAACCAAAAACACAGTGAAAATAAAAAGGGAGCTTCACGGTCCCTCTGACCCCAAAGCCTGGGAGTCTTCTATAATTTCCAGAATGCCTTCAGGCTGGAAGCCCCATGAATCTCTGGTGGGAAATTGGTTCAGAGGGCAGGAACTGCCAAAGCTGACCCACCCTGCTGAATCAATCCAGACAGGCAGAGATAATTAAAGATAAGCAGTCCCTTATGTAATCAGGCCCTGTGCTATGCAAGGCTTTAAACCAGCATCATGAATTGCATCCAGAAGTCAACTGCCAACCACTGGAGCTCATGCAATATTTGCAAATGATGGGAAACTGTGCCAACTTTTACATTATCTTTAGTGAAGCAAGCAAACCAGCGTTTGCATTTCCTGCGTCAGATAAGGAGAGCACATCTTTCTCCTCCTGTCCTGACCACTTTTTACAGAGGCACGATTGAGAGTGTTTTAACAAACCGCATCACTGTTTGGTTTGGTGGTAGCAGAGCCACAGATAGAAGGTCCATACAGAGAGTGGTAAGGACAGCTGAAAAGAATATAGGAAGCTCGCTTCCCATTGTTCAGGATATTTTTTATTTTTTTTTATTTATTTGCTTATAAGCACTATGTGCTTTGAGCTCGACGCATTGTTAGGGACACCACACACCCACTTCACGGTCTGTTTCTGCTGCTCCCCTTTGGGAGGAGGTTTCGAAGTATTTATAACAGAACTACTAGATTCTGTAACAGCTTTGTTCCTTATGCCATCCGTCTTGTAAATTCGCAAAAAAAAAAATATCTGCCATGTATATGTATACATTCGAACTAGACTGTGATGTTTCTCTGTGTCATATATGTGTGCATGTGTATGGGTATATGCATAATGGTATTTTTTTTAGAGCTGAATGCCACAAGCTTTCATTTTAATGTATGCTGATTAATGTACATTTAAAGTGACAATAAAGATTCTATTCTATTCTATTCTATTCTATTCTATTCTATTCTATTCTATTCTATTCTATTCTATTCTATTATTCTTTTGTATCCTTTTCAGTTCTTTTCTCTCTTGGTCTCCAGAAGACACTCATCTGTCATTGGGGTTGAGAGGCATCCAAAAATCAATCAAGGCTTTTTCAGTGGGGCTGGAAAAAGAGAATTCACATTACAGCTCAAATGCTGGTTCTGATGGGAAAGACTGTCTTTCCCCAACTCCTCAAATTTCCTGGAAATTATGTTCAAGCCTAACCAGAGACCAAAATGAGAAGGACACTTCAACTAAATTGTAGAGTAGTGAGTCCTGGGCCAGGAGCCACATATTTACTTGTAAACACAACGTGGATGAAGAGACAGAACGGGGGAGAAGAGAACCACAGTATCAAACCCTTCAAGAGTTTGATCCTATTCCAGTCTGGGATAAAACTAGCTTTCTCCATAATTAACTTTCTCTGAACGGAAGGACCGTCCTTTTCATTTGCACGGAGAATTTTTGTTTATTTGTATCTCACCTATTTTTTTTTCCAAATGATTAAAGCACACAACTCCTCTCCTGCAGCTGAGGCATTTCCAAATACAGCACAGAACATTATCCCAGGGAGAATGGAGCCTAAACTCTGTGTAATTCTGATCCTTTTTTTTTTTTTTGGTAAAGGTTCATTTATGACCACAATTGTGCTCAACATTTCCATTGCTAAGCAAGTCAGTTGTTAAGTGAGTTTTGCGCCATTTTACATCTCTTTTTGCCACAGTTGTTAAGCAAATCATAGTGGTTCTTAAGTGAATCATGTAGCCATTAAACAAATCTGGCTTACATTTATGCACCCAAATTTTGATCACACGACCATGGGGGTGCTGCAATGGTCGTTAAGTGGGAAAACCTGTCATAACTTCCTTTTTCAGTGCTGTTGTAACTTGGAAGGGTCACTAAATGAATGATTATAAGTCAAGGACTACCTATCATGAGAGAACATATCCAGAAGACTGAAAGCTCAGATCACAAGAGACATTAGTCAGCTCTATAATATCCACTGTGCTGGGGTGGCAATTTGGTCATGGAAGAGTGAGTTGAAATGCATTCTGTATATGCACAGAGAGCTTCTGGGTGCTTGAAGCTAAGGCAGAATTTCATCTCCCTTCTCCAGCCATGGCTTTCCCAAAAGATGGTCCCCTTCAATTCTCACAGTTAACAGCAACCCCCCCCCCCCAAGCTTTTCTTATCCTTCAGTCTCCTGCAATTTAAAATTCCGCTTCCTAAGCAAAAGGCTGTAGGCCAGGGTGTTTCAACTGTGGCAGTTTGAAGATGCTTGGACTTCAACTCCCAGAATTCCCCTGCCATCTTCCTGATGCACTGGGAGGATTATTCCCCTAAATATAAATCTTTAAAATAAAAGTTATGATATGACATGCTAAAATAAAGCCTTTGCCAGAAGAAGCCATAGCAAGGAGGAGTAAGAAATGACAGAAACAGCACTGCTCTTAGGGGATGCCAGCTTTACCCCCTTTTGTACACGCACCACGGTGTTGCACACACATCCAACAAGAGTTGCAACAGGATTTTACACCGCAATTATTTCTTTTGGGTATTGTGGAAGATTTAAATTCTAAAGAAATGATTTTGATGTTGTATTGTATAATGGCAGCAAGGTTATTGGTTGCTCAAAACTGGAAGAAAAATGTATTACCCACTATGGATGATTGGAGAACGAAGGTGTCGTATTTTGCAGAAATGGCTAAGATTTCCGCATATTTGAAAGATCAATCTCAAGAAAAATTTATTTTGGTCTGGAGAAGATGGATAGAGTATATTCAGAGAAAGTACGAAGTTAACAAATATTATATAGCCTTTGACTAGATTTTATATTGTTTTTTATTTATGTATCATATTATATATATTTTATATTTATGTTAAGTTGATAATTTTTTTTTATTAGAGTTAAAGTATGTTAATATCTGATTGTATTATGTTTGGGTATTTTTATTTAGATTTGGGATGACATGTGCATAACCCTGTATTCGGTTCTGGGAAGTCCAGGGGGGGGGAGGGAAGGAGGGGATTAAAGATGTAAATTTAAATTTTGGTATATTAGAATGTTATAGTGAAATAATGTATTTGAAGAAGATGAGATGCTCGGCTGGTGCCCCCAAACTGCGTCCCAAGGATGAGGAAAAGAAGGAGGCGGGATGTGTAGGGTAGTTGAGAGGAGGAAGGAGGAGAGAGGTGTAGGTAGAAGGAGAAGAGAGGAGGAGGGAAGTAGCTAGGAAGGGTGAAAGAGAGGGTGGACGCAGGTGGGGGGGCTGCTGAGCATCTCTGAATAGATATATAATATGGGGCTTTTTTATTAATGTATACCATATTTGTAATTTGTCTGTTTATTTGAAAATTAATAAAAAAATTGAAAAAAAAAGAAGAGTTGCAACAGGATTGCCGCCAGCCACAGCCATCCCACACGCAGGGAGAGTAGTAGTTTGACGAGGCTGCGTTAGCAGAAAAGAAGCACTGCCACAGTTTCCCCAATAGCAGGACCCGATCGGCTTCTCCTGGGCTAAGATCTGGCCAGGTTCATGCAGCACATGGACAGGAGACCACCAGAGGGCCCCAGGGCTGCAGGTTCGATTGGGAGGGCAGAAAAAACGCCTTAAAGGAGGCAAAAGAACAGCCACTTCCGGATTTTTGCTAGGAAAATTACCGGATGTCCCAAAACCCAGGCTGGACTCTAAAAGCGTCCTTGTGCCCCTAAACCAGGGGTAGGCAACCTTGGCTCTTTTATGACTCGTGGACTTCAACTCCCAGAATTCCTGAGCCAGCTATGCTGGCTCAGGAATTCTGGGAGTTGAAGTCCACGAGTCATAAAAGAGCCAAGGTTGCCTACCCCTGCCCTAAACCTCCGCCCAGGCGCGGAAGACAGAGCCAAGAAATAGTGCAACCTTCCGACTCTGAATTCCTGCAGCCCTGGATTTCCTGGTGGTCTCCCGTCCGGAATAAACGTCTAAACCTGGAAAATGGAGAAATCGCTCGGGTATTCTCCGCGCTTCCTCAATGCAACACCACCCCGGAGCCCAACTCCATCCCTTCCACTTAATGGAAGTGGGTGCAAGCTTAGGAGGGCGGAGACGCTCAGGATCCGCTGGATCGGAGTTGGGGCACCACCGACCTGGAGGTGAAGACGCGGGAGCAGCTGATGTCGGGGTTGATGTCGCACATAGCCCGGTAGGCGGCGTCGCGCTCCTTGGAAGTCTCCACGTGCAAGGCGTAAATAGAGAGCGCCAGCCCCGCCGCGCAGAGCAGCAGCCAGGCTGCGCGCTCCCACCTGGGCACCGTCATCCTGCCGTCGGCCGCCAGGAGAGGAGACTGACCGCTGGAGCCAATACCGCTTTGTTCCAGCCTGGCCCTGGGACACTAGGCCGCTTCCCATTGGCTGGCCGGCCGGCCTGCGTTCGAACAGGCATCCCAGCCAATCAGAGAGCGAAGGAGGGAAAGGAGCAAGGCATGCTGGGGATTGCAGTCTAGCGTTCCCTAAATGGGGGGGGGGAATCTTCCTTCTGCGCGTCTCAGATTGGCTGGGGATCAAGGAGGTTATAGACTAGGACAGGCTCTTTTATGACTCGTGGACTTCAACTCCCAGAATTCCTGAGCCAGCCTGGCTCAGCTTGGAAACCTCTCCCTTTTCCCTCAGCGTGGCTGGCTCTGGAATTCTGGGAGTTGAAGTGCACGAGTCAATAAAAGAGCCAAGGTTGCCTACCCCTGGACTAGGAAGATGTTCCACCTGGGTTCTTCAAAGGCAAGGGCTCCCTCGAGTCCGGTGGAAATCCGGTAATCCCATGGACATGCCTTGAATTAGAGCAGTGTTTCTCAACCTTGACAATTTTAAGGCATGTGGACTTCAACTCCCATGCTGGCTGTGGAATTCTGGGAGTTGAAGTCCACAAGCCTTAAAATTGTCAAGGTTGAGAAACACTGAATTAGAGCAAGGGTAGGCAACCTCGGCTCTTTTATGACTCATGGACTTAACTCCCAGGATTCCTGAGTCAGCTATGCTGACTCAGGAATCCTGGGAGTTGAAGTCCATGAGTCATAAAAGAGCCGAGGTTGCCTAACCCTGAATTAGAGCAACAATACAGAAATGGTTGGAAATTGCCCTTCAGGGATGTTTTTCCCACATTAGACTACAGTGCCGCCCTGATGTTTGCATCCGACCGCTGTATTCACCAGATGCAACCTTGTTTAGCATTTCTAAGAGGATTGGGGTAGTGGGGCATTGGTAACTCTTCCCACAATTTTGTAGAAGGAGGCAAAAATGCTAAGATTCTTTGTGGCCCAGATCAGGGGGCTTTAATTCTGACTGGGGCTGCCCTTGGGCTGTGGAGCTGTGTGGCTAGAAAGAATACAACTACTGGCTATTATTTATTTAATTTGGTGTGAATATGCCTTCATTTGGGGAGGAAAACTATGGCAAATCTAGACAGCATACTAAAAAGCAGAGACATCATCATTGGCATCCTTCAGTCTCGGGAGACTATGGTGCTCTGGAAAGAGGCCCTAAGGCAGCATCTGGTGTGGCTGAAAAGGCCAATTCGAGAATGGCAGTCCCTTCCACACTGAGGGCAGATACAATCTGTCCCCTGTCCAGCCCCCAGATTCCGCTTCGCTGTGAACTGCACCCCCCTGTCCGACCATGTGTCCAACCAGGCTAGCCCTAGGATCACAGTCTCAGTCATTTTTGGAGCCACTAGGAAGTGAATAAACTCCCAGTGTGCACCTATTTCTAGGCGTAAGGCCTCAGTTACTTGTGTGACATGAGTCCCTCCCATCGGGGAGCCATCGGCTTGTTCAAACCTCACAGGTTTGAAAAGCTGTTTTGCCCGTATGCCCATCTTCATGGCAAACGGCAGACTAATAATGCAACGGGTGCATCCAGAATCAATCAGCACGTTTAAGTCTATTTGTGCCCCAGACTTAGGGATTATAAGTTTGGCGGCCAGTGAAAAAGGCGGGATTTGTCGACTCACCATTGGGTCGTTCTCTCCATCATCACTGTCAAAGGAGGGTAGAGCAGAGGCGGGTCCACCTGGAGTCTCGGCGTTCTCCTGTGTGGGGGGTATAATCTGGGCAACAGGTTCCTGCGTGAGCCAATTGGATTTTTCTCTCGTTAGCCGCTGAGCAGGTTTCTTTCTCATTGCTGGTTCTGATCTGCTCTGCAGCCAGGGGGGTAGGGGACTGGACAGGTGGCCGCTCGACGTCCTTCTTGTCCACACCGGAAACACTTAAAGGAAGGGCGTGTAGGTGGCCTGGGTCTCTCAGCCATTGCAGTAGTTGAAGGTTTTCGTGGGGGTGATTGCTGTCCGGGTAGCTCTGGTTGCTGCTCGGGTTCGTGTGGGGGAGGTTGTTATGGTTCCGGCTAATTTAACTGCTCAGAGGAAATGAATTACAGACCTTAGCATCAACTTCGTTGTGCCTGTGCCGACATTTTGTAACAATAAATTACTTTTAGGAAAATCAATGCATGGAAGTTCTTTGAAAACTGCCTCTTTGCCTCAGCCTGCCGCACAAGTGTCTCTTCGTATTTCCAACCATGCTGCGTCTTTAGCCTCCAGGCTGAATGATCAGAGGTCAAGGATTCCCAGCTGTTAATGTCCATTCCCAAGGCCTTTAGGTCCCTCTTGCAGATATCCTTATATTGCAGCTCAGGTCTCCCTCTAAAGCGCTTTCCCTGCACTAGTTCTCCATACAGGAGATCTTTCGGGATCCGACCATCAGCCATTCTCACAACATGCCCAAGCCAGTGTAGACATCACTGTTTCAATAGTGTATACATGCTAGAGATTCCAGCACATTCCAGGATTGCGCTATTTGGGACTTTGTCATGCCAGGTGATGCTGAGAATACGTCGGAGACATCACCCTGCCAACAAAAGTACGTATAGTCAAGGCCACGGTTTTCCCAGTTGCAATGTATGGCTGTGAAAGTTGGACCATAAGAAAGGCTGAGTGCAAAAGGATTGAGGCCTTTGAACTATGGTGCTGGAGAAGACTCCTGCCAGTCCCCTGGACTGCAAGGCGATGAAACCGGTCAGTCCTAGAGGAGATCAATCCCTGAGTGCTCTTTGGAAGGCCAGATCCTGAAGTTGAAGCTCAAATACTTTGGCCACCTAATGAGAAGGAAGGAATCACTGGAGAAGGGACTAATGCTGGGAAAGATCGAGGGCAATAGAAGAAGGGGATGACAGAGAATGAGGTGGCTGGATGGAGTCACTGAAGCGGTAGGCGTGAGCTTAAAGGGACTCCAGAAGATGGTAGAGGACAGGAAGGCCTGGAGGAACGTTGTCCATGGGGTCGCAATGGGTCGGACACGACTTCGCAACTAACAACAACAATGCCTTCATTATGAGTGCCCAGAAGGAGGGACTTGCAGTTAGGTGCCCAAACAGGTTGGCAAAACTCAGGTACACTAACTGGGAAGGGGAGGGAGAGGGAAGAGAAACAGATCATTATGTGCTCTGTAGTTTACCCTGAAGCTTATAGTTACCTTGTCTTAGCACTGATGGATACTCAAATGTTATTCAACTGTTTATTTATCTAAAACTTTTTCCCCCTCAGGGCAACTGACAGCAACAATAAATGCCAACCAGAATTAAAACAAAATGGCAAAAACAGCATTAACAAAAGGCTGGATAAAGCGAATTAAGGCCAAATTAAAATAAACTGATTTCTGCCTCGTTGCAAAACGGCGTGAAAATACATAGTTCTCAGGGAGGGTAGTTTTTAGCTGGAAGCATCGGCTAAAACCGCTGTTTGGGTTCACAGATTTTTTTTTCCCCCCCAATAGAAGAACCAGGAAAAGAAAATCTTTAAATCTCGACCAAATGATTTAGAACGGAATTTCCCAACTGTGGCAAAATGTGTTGGCTGAGGAATTCTGGGAGTTGAAGTCCGCGTGTCTTAAAGTTGCCAAGGTTGGAAAACTCTGATTTAGAGCCATTGGACAGCAAGTTGAGAAAGATTTTAAGGCTCCAAAGCAGAATTTAAGATTAAGCTATGAAGAGAAGGTGATTCCCAACTAGCTAATTCAGCTGTTTCATAGCAACTTGCTGGTGTTTGCTGAGTCTCAATGATTAACCGCGCAGCTTTGTTTTAAATAAACAGGAATGTCCAAATAATCCACAAAGATAAATCTCATGGACCATGCACCACATTCATGCAGCTGGGAGTTTGCCAAGGCCTCGGTAATTTTAAATGTACAAGTAATTCTTGACTTATGACCACAACTCAGCACAAAATTGCTGTTGCTAAGTTCAGAAAGAAACATAAAGTGATCATATAACCCGAGGACGCCACACCCATCATAAATATGAAGCAGTTGCCAAGTGTTCAAATTTTGATCACATGACCATGGGGATGCTGTAATGGTCATAAGTGTGAAAAACAGTCAAAACGCATTTTTTCAATGCCATTGTAACTTTGAGCAACCACTAAACAAGTGGTTGTAAGTCGAGGACTACCTGTATGTATGTAGTTATATAATAATAATAATAATAATAATAATAATAATAATAATAATAATAATAATAATAATAATAATAATAATAAGTTGGAAGGGACCTTGGAGGTCATCGAGTCCAACCCCCTGCTCAGGCAGGAAACCTTACACCATTTCAGACAAATGGCCATCCAGTCTCTTCTTAAAAACTTCCAGCATTCACCACTTGGAGCATTCACCACTTCTGGAGGCAGGTTGTTCCATTGGTTAATTGTTCTAACTGTCAGGAAGTTTCTCCTTAGTTCTAGGTTGCTTCTCTCCTTGCTTAGTTTCCACCCGTTGCTTCTTGTCCTGCCTTCAGGTGCTTTGGAGAATAGCTTGACTCCCTCTTCTTTGTGGCAGCCCCTGAGATATTGGATGTCATGTCCCCCCTCGTCCTTCTCCTCATTAAACTAGATATACCCAATTCCAGCAACCATTCCTTATATCAGGGCTTTTCAACCTTTTCACCCATTGTACCACTTTTAGGATATGGCAATATCCGAGTACCACCAGTAGCCTAGCAAGGTGTCAAAAACTTGATGACCAAAAAAAAAAAAAAGGAAAAAAGTGATGAAGTACAGGTAGTCCTCGACTTACAATAGTTCACTTAGTGACTGTTTGAAGTTACAATGGCACTGAAAAAAGTGCCCCCCAAGCCACAGCCGAGCAAGACACCTGCCTGCCTGCCCGGCCGCGTTCTTCCTTCTGTCCGAGGTTTTCATTGTTGTGAGCATTTCTGTTGAGGATTGGCAGCAGGGGTGGGGTGGGGGGGTTGTTTTTTATTCCCCCCATCTTCTGGGTGGTTG